TCCTGGCCACCGTCTACCCGCAGCTCATCCGACACTGGAAAAACGCCAGTCAGTTCGGGCAGCGCGAATGTCAATCGTCGGTTGATAAATCACTTGGACCACTTGATCAATAATATGACGCAACCCAGGAGCCTGGGCTGGATTTGATAGCACAAATTATTTATGGCCAACGTGATGCATGGTGTTGGCATTATTTTACCGAGCTGTTGAGTTATGGTATGATATAAATTGTCTTTTGTGGTTACCATTTTGCTAAGTTTGACAGACGCTCACTTATCGCTTTACATGATGCAGTTCCTACTTTGTTTGCCTATGTTTACGATTCGCGGATGTTCACCGCCCGCAGACATGGTTGGTAAGACAGTGTACTTCCTGAGCGCGGCCGGGGAGGCGGCCATCACCCTACAGGACAACAGCCAGGCACTCACCTACCTGAGAGAGGCGCAGATCCTCGTCGATGAAATGAAAACAGGCCAGTCACGAGCGGAGGCGATTAGGTCATAGAAGACTTGTCTGTCATTCAATTCAGCCTTCCCCCCTTGTTGCTTATTCAATTTACAAAGGGTTTTTAGTCGCTTATAACGAAATATAATTGATCCTAATTCACATTTATGGGCTTTCCCGTTCACTTGACAAGCGCCGTAGCCAAGCGCTCGATAATGCTACACCGCAATGCGCTCGTGTAATCCGGCACAGCCTACCTGCCGCGTTGTCGGCACTCGGCGCAAACTCCGGTGCCTTAGTGGTGTGGGACAGCCGCTCCCATTGCTGTGCCACTTTCTATCAGCCTTATATCGTTCTAAAGCCAGGTTCTCTGAGTTACTAAAATCTTCGCCGAGAGACATCCTGAAAGGCGTCATTACAGGCAACAGCCGTCTAAAATCTCCGAGCTCCTAGATGTATTCGATCGAAGATGACGACAGAACAATCCTAACTTCGTCGTCATCTTCACTCGAATGCATCTAAGAATGTCGATTTTTCGCATTCCCGATTTTTTAACGATATTTCTGCTATCCCGTCAGGCGCACGTCCTCTGCCCGATCCTGACGACGGTGACGTCATCCCGGTGTGGTGGCAGGACGCCAAGGTGGAGAACCTGATGGGCCAGGCCTACCTCCGCATGGGCATGTTGGAGGACGCCCTCTCGCACCTCAGGTAGCAGCGCCTCATGATATCGTATCCGGCCTAATGTCCTCAGCTTCAGCTACCTTTCTATGGATAATTGAAATTTCCCGCTTTGGTCTCGCGTATTACGTTGGCTATTTGTTAGCGTTTTCGTTTCACAGGGAAGCACTGGAGATGCTGGAGATATCGTTCCCCACCCGGGTGAACATATTCCACATCTGGACAGCGGAGCTCACCCAGTTCCTACACCAACTGATGCCGGCACATTATCTCGGTAAGTAGGTACATAATCGGAAAATAACAAGTTTCTCCTCATTTATCAATCAGACATTCGGGTGGAATGTTGCAAATAGTACCTTGGTTCTTGGGTAAAGCTTTATTGATTATTGAATAGATGCGTTTACATCAGCTACATGATTCTCTTCACGAAAGACGTAACATGAAGTGCCTAAGACGTAGAACAGTGAAAAGCGCATCTGTCACGTCCATCACCGCGGCCGCCGTCCCTGCACGTGTGTCAGGCTCTGTGGACCAGGAGATGGCACCCATCAAGGTGGAGGCGGCCAACTGCCTGAAGCACCTGACGGACGTGTTCCACCTCAAACACAACGAGTCGGTCTGCTACCTGGCCGCTCTGATGCAGCTCAACATCGCCGAGGCCGCCAGCACCGACTTCGACGAGCTCATCATGGCCTACTCCAGTATCATACAGGTCGGTGGGAGACTGATAGTGTGATTTTCCTCATCTTTAGGTCGTATGGTTTACTTATAGTGATCCATATTTGACGTTACACAACGCTCGTTTGCTCCCGTCCACTCGGAGCCGCAAGTTCGGCTATACTGCACCGCAATGCAGCTGTGTAAAGCGGCACAGTCTACCTCCCGCCGACGGAACGCCAAAGCGTTTCTGACCGTGTTTCAGGCGTGCATGGCTCGCGGCCGACTGCGGCAGGCCTCCTACTACTCCAGCATGGCGGTGGCCAAGCTGGAGGCGCTCTTCAACATGATGCAGGAGGAGGACTTTGCGACGGCGGCCAGTCTCTACACCATCGTTCTGAGGATGAAGCTGGCCTCCGGCGAACTCTACGAGGCGCTGGATAACGGCAAGTGGCCGATACAGCTCAGACGAATCTGGCATTTCTATGATCTATCTCAGCTGTACTGAGCGCTTAAGCATGCATCGCCGAAACATGGGCAACCTTGCATAATAGCCCCGATGGCTCTTCGACCTCGTATCTGACTAGCATCTTACAACACTCAAACCTAGCGCATTGATGCGCAGACCATTTTAACCACCAGGTTAACAACCACCTAGCCACCAGACTCACTGGCAGCTACCATTCTAACCGAATTCTTCCCGCCGCAGGCTACATAGCGCTACGGATCAACCGCCGGATCCACGACGGCGAGGCGGAGCTGGCGTCTGCGCAGCTGCTCTCGCAGTGCCTGCTGCTGCAGCTGGCCGTCCAAGAGCTGGTCGACCTCTCCCGTAGAGTGATGTTCATCGCCGAGGAGGGCAGTCACGTGCTGGGGAAACACTGGTACTACCTCGGGTGTCTGGATACGCTCATCGAGGCAGGGTGAGTGTGAGTGGGGGAGGCGTAACGGGGAGGGATTGATAGTGGGATTACGGTCATCTAATGGATAATGCAGCCCATCCGTCTGGTAGATAAGCCGCAAAAAAGCTGGAGATGGAACAAAATCTGGTAGACGACGAAAGACGACAAACGTCAAACGGATATTCATAGCGGAGCAGCTCATGAGATAAAATGTATATGCGGAAAAAACATGTTGCTATTATTATCGATGACCCGCGAGCCGCGTCAATAACGTACCGGTCCGGCCGGTCGTTTATTGCCCGGCAGGTTCAGTATCGAGGACATCGGCACGTGCGTGTCGTTTGTACGCGACACGTACTCTGACCCCTCCGTACGCACCGAGCGAGAGGCGCAGTTCTACGCGGCCGCCACGCTGGCACTCTGGTACGCGCGAACCGACTCCTGGGTCGAGTGCGACCGATGGATCGCCGCCGCCGAGGAGGTGGGTGAGGACGCTGGACAGGTGGGTGAATGAGACGACTGAATGTGAGCACTGACGACCGCAATAAATCGCAGACTGCTCCGACAACTGGCGAATGTTGGCAACAAGCTAATCGTTTTTAATGTCAATAGCAGGAAGAACGGGAAGCAAGAACTAGCGGCTGATGTTGATATTTTGCAGAGGCGGGCCGAAGCCTCATCGAATGCTGCTTGTCGTCTGTCGTCTTTTTTCATCCCCAGGCTTAGCCGATGAGCCCTGTCCCGTCTCTTTCCCACATAAACTTGATAAGACCATAACCCGTCTATTCCCAAGGGGATTCTGATGAGCTTACGTCACTCCCCTCCGCAGGTGAAGCCGGTCAAGGCGCGCTGCGTGGTCACCGTGCACGGCCTCTGTAAGCTGCTGGAGACGCGCCTGATCCGGCTCTGCGAGACCATCGTGGAGCAGCTGTACGAGGAGACGGAGAAGGACGAGCCCGTGGTGCGCCAGTACCTCAAGGAGCTCGACAAGGCAGTCGAGTTCCACAAGGTCTTCAAACCCAGGTCAGTGCTGCGGAGACATATGTTAGCAAGGCTGGAACCTCAAACTGATCGTGTGCTAGGGTGATGTGTCTCATAATGAAATCCTGTCGGGCTCGTTTTCTAGTTACATTCACAACAATAAATTCAAGTCACTTCTTGCTTACGAAGCTTGTGCGAGTCGTGGAATATCATTGTTACCTACAAAGGCCGGTGCCGTTTTCTGCAGATACCTTCACATGCGGGCGTACTTCTGCATGTTCACCGGTAAGACGGACAAGGCGTTCCGGCTGCTGAAGGAGGCCGTGGTGATGGCCGACAGACTTACCAACGTGCTGGACCGAGAGTGGGCCAAACACTCGCTATACGTGAGTACGGGCAGGGCAAGGGGGCTAATGGCAAACACAGCCAGTTGATAGTCGGGTCTCAGCGGTGGAGTGTGCTCCTGTTCAGAAACCGGACCTATCAATACGGGGAAACATGAGAGCAAAATGGATTGGCTTCCATCACAGTCCGCTCCCTTCATATGTATTGTGTAATGTATTCCGGTAGTAGGTAGATGCCACCTCATACGGTTTGATCTATTTCTGAAATACGTCAAACTCTGACCTACTACTACCGTCCCTCTGAGGCGCTGTTGACGCCCTGTTTTCTCTGCGCGGCAGGTGTGGTTCGAGGAGGTCTCCGAGTTCGTGATGACCTTCTGGCTGCGTCACAGCATCCAGGGCGAGCTGGACTGGCACGACGCCAAGAACATCGCCCAGTCCAAGATCATGTACACGCTGCCCACGCCAGAGTACAAGTCCATGCTGACCGGCACCAGCTAGGGCACAGCGGAGACGGACGGAGCTGAGGGCTGACTGGGGGATCGGGATATATGGGGCAGTGTGTGCCAAGGCGGCGTTAGTACAACACTGAAGGGTTTATGTAGACACAAGACAGCAAGGATTTTGTAAGACTGGTTATGCTTATGTTGAACTGATCGCCTTCCCCATAAGAATTGCACAGGTCCGCTCTAAAGCGAGACGTAAGCCAGGAGTTACACAGTTAAGCTCAAGCGCACCATAGCCGCTATGCTGCAGTCGCAGGACAGCCGTCGGGCTTCTCGTAAGTGTTAGACGTAAATGAATCATTATGTTAGACTGTTGTGTACGCAAATAATTAATAAACGAGTGTAGCATGATGAAGTAGCTCAGTAGCGTGAAAATCTGACTAGAACTTTGCAAGTAGCCTGCCTTTGACGGCCTACTTATGTAATTCCTTTGGGAAGCATGCAATATCTACGCGTCGAAGACGGGAAAAGTCCATAAGAGTAGGTTAAAGATATGCATAAATATATTCCATCTTGCAAAGCGACACATAACAACAAAAACTGATTGGTCTCGGGGGCGTAGATTACAAGTGAAAACCGTAACTGCATATCGAACGCAAAATGTCAACGGCGAATCGCCTAGGAGAGGGTTTATCGCAACAAAAGGTAGCATTGACCGGTGTTTACCTTTTGAATGGAACCAAAGCCATTTGTCAGACGGACATAAAGTGAAGTGACCCGACACACGCGATAACAGGGTAAGCCCACGACCATTTAATGATGATCATGAATTACCATCACCGATTGTTGGACAACAGAGCCGCGGTGGTTGATATCGATAGTACAATGTTGCAGGACTCCTGTCACACCAGTGTAACACTGCTCCATCCAACACAACGCCCGCCGAACCTCGACCTCGAGTCACTGCGCTGCCAAACACACCGGCGTCCACGTCCCCCGTCTTCAGCCTCCCCTCCCCCCTCCCCGTGGAATGTATCACTACCTTCCCCCGGGGACTCACGACTCGGAGACCAGGCCGCGCATCTGTCGGACGGCGGCCACCAGTCGCGGCGGCAGCGGGGGCTGGCCGGCGGCGGCGATCACCCGGCCGTACTCGGCGGCCGGACAGCGCAGCAGTGTGCTGAGCGCGTGTAGAGACTCGGCCAGACGCAGACCCAGGTCGTCCAGCACGTTACCCAGGTAGTCTGCCGGAAACGGAGAGGTAATGTAAGGGTGCACCAATGCTTACAGGGACTTCCTCAGCGGAGATAATATACAAATAAAACAAAGCACAGTAGAACAGCAAAGGAATATAACTGGGTAACTGGAACAAATAACCGATAACAAAATAAACAGAATATCAGAAGTAAAACTACAGTTCGATCATTCATAAGAATTGTAGACCTTTTATGGACGAAAAAAATCCGATCCCGTAAGTCGGTATGTACTAACTTGGCAATGTAACCAAAAGGCATCGAGCCATCGACCCAATGTACCCACCGATATCTGCGACGAGCTGCCGGGTCATGCCCGCCGAGATGTGCTGTATGCGCACTATGGTGTCGGCGTACACCTGACAGGCGCCCTCGGACAGACAGCTGATGATGTAGTGCACCACGGACGACTCGGACTCGCTCCGGCCGCCGCTCACACTGGAACTGGGAACGGCGTGCGGGAGTTAGAGCGGGGGAGGGGGTGTGGTGATGGGGTGAGAGGTACAAAAACATACCCAAAAACATACCCAGGCTACCCACCAAAAGTGGCAGGCAAATATTTCTAGGAGAGTTAGCTTAGAAGCCAGTTTAAACGAGCCGAGGCCTCTTGCACCAAAATCCTCTTGCACCAATGCTTGGATTATTTTGCATCGTATACCCAGTCCAAGCCTCAAATGTAACAATTTGCGTGCAAAATTTAGCAAGCTCATGTAGGATTATGTACTGGGCTATTGCAAACAAATTTACCAACGTTAGGTTAGCTTATTCTGAAACCGGTTTTTCGATTTTACCTAGCTAGGTAGTTTGGTGCAAGAGGCCTCCGTTCAGCACATCGAAACCTACATATATGGGACCACCCTGTCCATTGTCCAACAATTGCAACCAACCGCACATAGGCACTTATTTCCTGTAATGCTTCAGTCTTGTAATGTTGGCTATGGCGATACGTCTGGATCCGCTTACCTGTATGGCATGACGCCGGACTGGAGGGCCCGTCCCAGCGTGGGGTCGTGCTGCGTCATGAACGGCTCCAGGTGCTGCGGCAGCGTCATCAGGTACTGGCCCACCTGTCGGAGAGAACGGACCCGAGTTAGAGCTGTGACTGACGGCTCGTGCTGCGGCAGCGTCATCAGGTACTGGCCCACCTGTCACACAGAACGGACCGAGTTAAAGCTGTGACTGTGACACAGGGTACGACAAGCTAAACGGACAACGAATCAAACCGCTTCAGTGCCGGCAAACATCACAAAATACAGGGGCAAACAATCAGCCAACGGCTTCTCACCGGCACTGCCATCAAACCGACACTTCTAAAACTGTGGCCTCAGGCAGCCTCAAACTTGTGTGGTGCATCTGTGTGGTGCACTCCTGCGTGTACTCCGTACCTGAGTGACTGAGTACTCAGTACTCCGTACCTGAGTGATGTACTCCTGCGGCGTGTAGCTGAAGTCGGGCAGGTCGGCCGACAGGCTGGCGCCGGCGCCGCCCCGTCCCTCCCAGTCCACCGTCTCCACGGCTTTCAGCTGAGAGCGGATCGGCGCGAACATGGCCCGGAACGCCACCTTCTGTACCTCCTCGTTTGTGGAGTCGAGCAGGCGGTGGCACGGCTCCAGTAGAACTAACGAGTCACCTGAGGAAGGGGGGGGGGGTGAGGTGGAGTCGAGCAGGCGGTGGCACGGCCCCAGCAACACCACAGAGTCACCTGAGGGGGGACGGGGGGGGTATGGTGGAGTCGAGCAGACGGTGGCACGGCTCCAACAGAACTAAAGAGTCACCTGAGGAGGGGGGGGGGGAACGGGGGGGTGAGGTATGGTGGAATCGAGCAGGCGGTGACACGGCTCCAGCAGAACTAAAGAGTCACCTGAGGGGTGAGACGGGGGGAGGGGGGGGGAGGTATGGTGGAGTCGAGCAGACGGTGGCACGGCTCCAACAGAACCACAGAGTCACCTGATAGACATGGCGGGGAAGAGAGATATACTACACATACGGAATGAAGAGAATATGGGCCATGTCCAAAAAGATATCCCCATGCTTTCTCAAAACAATATTTTCTTCTAATGGACAACAACATAGCTTTGCCTCAAGAAAATAAGATAACTTTGCAAGCCGGAAGGATTGATTGACTGCATTTTTTTACGCAGACGCACTGACCCATCCCTACACCTTTATCCGGTGCGTGTGACTCACCCTCCGCGACCCTGTCGACCAGCTGCTGGTACCGGCTCTGATCGCCGGCCGGCAGCAGCCGCGCCGCGCTGAGGTGGGCCGGCACACCGCCCGGCGGCTGGGAGAGCACACTCAGTACCCGCTCCTCCAGTCGACTGGTCTGGGTCATCAGGTCACCTGGGACCAGACAGACACCGGGTCAGAGCACACTCAGTACCCGCTCCTCCAGTCGGCTGGTCTGGGTCATCAGGTCACCTGGGTTCAGACAGACACCGGGTCAGAGCACACTCAGTACCCGCTCCTCCAGTCGGCTGGTCTGGGTCATCAGGTCACCTGAGGTCAGACAGACAGATCAGAGAGACACCGGGTCAGAGCACACTCAGTACCCGCTCCTCCAGCCGGCTGGTCTGGGTCATCAGGTCACCTGGGGTCAGACAGACACCGGGTCAGAGCACACTCAGTACCCGCTCCTCCAGTCGGCTCGTCTGGGTCATCAGGTCACCTGGGGTCAGACCAAATAAACAGTCAATAGGAGACCACAATGCAAACAAAGCGACTAAAAAGTAAGCGAAAAATAAAATATTTTATAGACGCAGTCGAACTCCGTGCAGAAAAGCAACGCAAAGTTAAATTATTGACATCAAACCTCACGCAGAACGAGCCGATCTCCATCCGTTGATACTCACCTATGGCCTGCAGGAGCCGCAGACTGGCGTGGAACACGGTCCAGTCGGAGCCCGCGCTCGGCTGGGACTCCAGCTGTTTGGCAGTGGCGTTCACATTGGACAGCTCCGTCTCAAAGGCGCACTGAAATACGAAAGGCAAAGCCAGCCATACTTTTAGAGCTTCAGGGCATACCGAATGCAAAGAGCGCAATTCGCAGTAGATTGCGAAAAATTTTCGTCTTCTATATTGAAGCATAGTTCGCTTTGCTTCCATTTTCCCGTCAAGTCACACATTCAAAACGATGTCAGAAATTCGTCTTTGTAGCATTCTGCTTAACCAGTGACCACGGTTCTCAAACGACGCACTGGAAGCAAATCGCTCATGCCCTAACCCAACCGACACAACCACCTCTGCACTCTCTTTACCTGGAATGCGTCAAGCAGCTGTGGCAGGCAGTAGCCGTAGGTGAAGGACAGGCACCGGTCCAGCGCCGAGTGAAGCAGCGTCATCAGCTTACTGACGGAGGAGCCGACGGCGTCCACACGCTCCTGCAGGTCCGCGCCGGACGGAACTGATCGAGGGGAGGGGCGGGAGAGTTAGTAAAGGAACCTTGGGTTACAAAACCAATAACTATGTTGTGCAGCATAAGGAGGCATGACGAAGAAAAGGGACTGAAAGCCACTCCTGGCTCATCTTGTCTCCTGACACGCCCATTAACTATCTCCAGCTTTACACATTCCCTGACTCACCGAGTGCCTTGATGGTGGGCACAAGCAGCTGCTCCTGGTAGCGTCCGTAGCGCTGCAGCTGGGTCACGTACGGAGCGTAGGCCGCCTCCACCAGAGCAGACGCCGCCGGCACCGAGCCGCTCGAACCTGAGGGACGAAACGGCAAACAGATGAGTTATACTACAACCCCAAACACTATAAGAAAAAGAGTGTAGGTGCAGTCCCGTAACATATTAAGCAAAGCGATAGCTGCTTAAAAGGTCGAAAGCATTTGTTCACGAAAACCGAAGCTCGATCCGTTCCAGGACTTCATCCACGAAGTCGATGTCCTCAGACGTCTGATGATTCCAAAACTGGCGAGTTGAGCCGGATCGTCGAACGCTCTATGTTACACAACTGACCTGCCGTGGCGTCGGCGGCCTGCAGCAGTGTGGTGACCAGCCGGTCCGTCACCCTCTTACACTCCTCCAGCAGCTGCAGCGGGTCACTGTGCTCCTTGGTAGCCGTGTCTGTGGGAAAGGGAACGGTTCACCGAGGAAATGGTGGCACCAAAAGTAACAGCCCGCCTACTTACTCGAAGTAATGAATTTGAACTGAAAAATACACACCAAAAGACTGCCCTGCGAAGTTAACAGTTTAGCCCGTAGCTACATACCATTCACGAAACGTATCGTCCTGCGTAGACGGTGTAGGTGAACAACAGTTTCATTAACTTGGCGTTGTTCCTTGCGAATATAGCGATGACAAAACACCCTATCGTGAAATAGCTGCTCACCGAGACAGGAGGCGACGCTGGGCTGGAGGGAAGCCAGAGTGTCGGCCAGGACACAGCACAGGGTGCTGGCCGGACTCAGATGGGGCATCACCTGCTCCAGCCAACGAGTCTGACGAAAAAAACGCATCGGTACCGTAAGTACTTGGTGCTTTAAATAACGACACATTTAAACGAAACACTTTATTTCTGACAACTTAACGCTTCAATGACGACCAATTAGCGACAAAGTAAGCAGCGCACGCAGCATAACTTCAGAGGGTACGGCGATGAGGTGTACAGCTCCGGTTGATCACTCCACAGCGCAGCCTGTGGTACTCAGCACCCCGTGTGCGTTTCCCGAAGCTGACCTGCGTGTGCCACGTGTCGACCAGTGTCTCGGAGAAGGCCGTCAGCCACTCGAGCACGCCCTCCTCCTGGCGGGCCTCGAGCTGTGCCGACCAGCGCCGCTGCAGTTCGGCGCGCTGGCAGCGCACGTAGTACTTCTCCAGCTGTGGCAGCCGGGCCATCTGCCTGAACACCTCCACCAGCACCAGACTGCGGGCTGGGGGAGGGGGGGGACAGGGTCAGCATACAGTCACAGTCTCAGACTGCGGGCTGGGGATACGACCAGGATCAGCATACAGTCACAGTTTCAGACTGCGGGCTGGGGGAGGGACAGGGTCAGCATACAGTCACAGTTTCAGACTGCAGGCTGCAGCAGAAGAGGAGGAGACAGGGTAAGACAATGGACAGAAATTAGGCATAATGCTAGCATGACTTTATAGGTTTTTTTTTCTCAATTGCGTCAGTTTCCGTCGGAATAATTGCTAGAGAAAAGCAAAAAAACTGCTTCCAATCGATTTTCTATTCTTTTTAAACACCTCCCACACCATCCCATTCCCGGTTATACCGCCGCAGATCTGTAGTGCTGTTCTACGGACATGTATCTTTTCCACGTACCTGTGTCGTTGTCTGTGATGGCGGCCACCAGGTGCGGGCTGGCCGTGGCCTCCAGCCGGTTCCTGTGCTCCTCCAGCGTCTGCCGGCGCTCCTCGTAGTCAGAGACGTGTCCCAGCACGTCCAGACTCTGCTGGAGGGCGGCCACCTTGTCGGCCATCTGCTGCAGGCTGCCGCTCTCCAAAACCTGGGAACGGGTTGAAGAGTCACCGGCCGTAACTGTAGAGTACTAACTACCGCCGTTCAAAACCTGAGCGAGGAGGAGCCGCGGAGTCACAGGGCGACTCGGTAAGGTAGCGGATACATGTGCGTCTGCCGTCATAATAAAACCGTTGTATGAAAAGATCGCAATATCGTTGCAGAAAGATCGTTGCACGCTTAAGTAAAGTTCAAGTTGGGCTGCAAGATGGTTACTGATTCCCGCCCTTGTCGATGTATTTTTTTTTCTCAAACATTTCCCCGCAAAACTGGCAATACCTATCTATAAGAATGCGATAAACGCAATACATTCTATTATTGACAATTTTATTTCCCGTTATATTATGATCTAGCTCTCAGACTCCCCGGCGCAGAGAGCGACTTCCTCACCTCCTCAACGTCTGCGGAGAGTGTGGTCCAGTTGTCGGCCTCCTTCAGCGCCTGGCAGGTGCGCTCCATGCGCGACTTGACCGTGTCGAGTCGGGTCAGCGTGCGCATCGATTGAGCCGTCTCCTGCTCCACCTGATAACGGCGGTAAACATCGGGGGAAATCGAGAATAAGTAAGCGCATATTGCTGTGGGAGTGATATTCATCGGCGAGAAACGCTCCTTTATTAATAATCATTCATCGGGCGGGAAACATTTTATCGTAAAAATAAGCATTCGTCGTGCATCTGATCTTCATCTGATACAGACCTTCAGGGTCACAAATACGAATTGAGTTTACGTTTTACGAGTGTGTTCACTGTAAAAAACGTCACCGAGATCCCCAGCACCTACCTTCACGATGTCGGCTTTTGCGACGCTCATCTGTTCGCGGAGCCGCGCGGCCTCTGCTCTGACCGCCTCCACGTCCCGCACCAGACGGGGCAGGCTCTGGAGGACCTGGCAGATGACAGGAACAGCGTCACAGCTCAATGAACCAAGGTAGGCCTCCTTCGCCATCTGAATACAATTCAGCTTCAGGCTTTGCATGTAACAAAACATTTTGGCCCTTGTTGACATTGGCTGGCAGCAAAAAAGTAAAATTAGTAGGTAAAAAGGGACCCAGCAAAAGCATTGACTACTACACATGGGTGGTAAGTGCTCTTTGAAAACTGCCTATAAATAAAGTTGCATGCATTTGTGTACCTGATGACTTGTTTCATCCAGGGAGTTGTTCACTTCTTGAATAAAAAGCTGTAATTTCATTACAACTGTTGCAGCATGGCCCTGTGAATAGATGATCAGAACAGCTTCAACTAGATCACAGAAAACATTTTACAATGTTGCAAAACTTAACACACCTAATAGATACAAAGGCTTGAAGCTTCAACAAGTTACACTTGCCAACAGCATTCAAACTGAAAGCAAATGAGCCAATTGAGACATTGAGACAAAATATAGGTAGGGTTATTCAGTGCATTATTAACCAGTTAACCCTAAAATGGCTGATATAATGGAGTTATTTAAAAAGTATACCTCAGGATTTTCTTTCATCTCTGGTGCTTCAAAAACTTGGCCCACCCACTGCTTCACATCAAACTTCTCATCAGAAAAAGCAGAAAGATCCCTGCAGAAAAACAAAACAGGAAGACATCAGAGTCATGTCAAGGCACCCTGTTGGTGGGAAAAAAACTTCCTTTGCTGTTTGAATGGCAAACAAATGGAACGGTCACCCATCTATCTATGGTGGCTTGTACTGGTAGTGGTACCTACAGCATTGTTGATCTGTTTGAACAGTTATAGCAGTTCCCACTTATTACTGTAATGGTACAAGGCAATACAATGATACCAACATAAGACCAATGGAGCTTTAAAGTCGAAGTCAAATAATTTGAAATAGATGACAGGCGATAAGTACCGGTCAATGGACCACGAAATCCTGATCCAAAGAATCAGCTTGAACTTCTATTGAAAATGAGGCTCAGAACTCTTCATAAAGAAGACAAAAAATCATTGTAGCTCATAACCTATACTCAACTCACATTTTTTTCTCAGACAAGTTGGACAAGTCAGGTGTCAGAAAAGGCGCTTCAACTTCAACTTATCAGCAAACTACTGGGCACTGGCTGTTGTTACTATCACCAGGCCCCATCCGGTGCAGGCAATAATGTCCTTCACAATAACTGCAATAGCAATTCACGGATGCAATAACAATACTTATTTAAGCATTCCACAAACATGCATTGTGATATACGCTTAAACAAAACAAACATACAATTCTCTGCCTACGTTTTAATGTCTTTTATGCGCCATAAGCGTCTATATTATCTAAAACACCTGCTCGAAAGTGAGCAGTTTCTGCTTTCGCAGATCCATGCCACTTTTGACCAATCACCTGTCTGAAATTCAATGTTACAAGTGCATTGATTGGAGAATCGTAATAAATTTCCTCAGCAACAGCATAAGCAGTATTTTAGAACAGAGTTTATGAGAACAACTGACAAACAAAAGTCATTTTGCTGACGTCATTAATTTAATGGAAGATTTTGTAATTTATCTTACAAAGACCTCAAATTTCATTGTTTTTTTATTTCCATTATTGTTTATCTTGACTCTGTTATGAATAATCGCTGATAAAATGTACTTTTCGTCCACCTTGTAACAAGTTTTTTTTCGATATCTGAAATACAATATTTGATTGATGACGTCATACAAAAAGATACTTTATTAAACCTTCCCTACATCTCAAATGAGATGCAGTTTGGCTCTTGAGTAATTCTCGTTGATTTTGTGTGAAAAATGTGTGGAGAGGGTTGGTGAAGGCTGATGGTTGAATTCATTTACTTAACATGATGGGACTGTGCACTTTTGATGTTAATGTGCTGCTGGATTTTCATCACGCCTGATTTGAAGGAAAGGTTTGTATTCATAATTCATTTTCTTTATATCGTTCTGGTGTTGAATGGTTAGCGGGTTTCGCTGTTATCTAAATTGCTTTATTACATATGTAGTATGGAATAAAATGTTTTCGAAATATGTTTTATACATTTTAAGTGATTTCAGTTGATACCTTTGAGGTGTCATTGTCCTAGCAAGAAATGTTACTTTTTCGGAACCATTGGTAGGTAGGTAGGTAGGTACTTAGCTGCATGAATTTCATTGACTTCAAAACTGTAGCACATGCCACATACCTGTCTGGTTTACAGGGAGTTGAGGTAGATTGTAAATATTCTTGAGGATAAAACTGTATTCTATAAAAGTCATTTTTGATAAAAGTGGGGTCCTCAGGGTTCAGTGTTGGGTCCAGTCCAGGTCTCTATTATGTTTGTCATTCAGTTTTGAAAATCTAGAATATGAAAAATTAATGTGAATCACTTTTTTGACAAAAGTGCCTACAAATACATACCAATGTGAATAAACATATCAATGTCTGACATCATGCATATTAAGGCTCTTTTGCAGATGCATAAGTATGGATGAGCAATATAATGTATTTGATGACACTATTATGAGTGTACCTACCACCATCTCCAACGGGGCCTTCTTCCCTCTACCTCTGTCTCTCTCTGTGTGTCTGAGGAACTTGGTGTCTCTTCTGTGCATTTGAGGGAGCTGCTGATTCAGATGTGCCTTTGAAGGACCTGCTAGCCTCTCTATGTGCCTTTGAAGACATGCTAACCACCTGCTGACTCCTTCTGTACCTCTAAGGGACCTGCTGACCTCTCCCTATGTCATTTCCAGGGTTGTGACCTCGAACAGTACTACCAATGGCGTCTTCGCCGCCTCCATCGTCCGGGGGTGCCGGGACGGACCCGGCCTCGTGCGCGGTGAGCCGGAGCCGCTCCTTCTGTACAGCAGCGGCGCCCGGCCGACGCGTCGTGTCCGCCACCCTCAGCAGCGACGGTAGCTTCGAGTCAGACGTCAGGTCAGTGCCGACCCGGCGGCGGACGGGAGGGACGCTGGCTGATCTCGAATAGCGATGGTAGCAAGGGTGGGATAAACGGACAGCCTGCATGGTTCAGTTCGCTCGTACTCACCGCGTGTGGAAGCTACTTACATGCTGTCAGGTCATGATGTCTGGTGTTGTATACGTGTACGATGATTCTCCAGTCTATCGTTTTATGAGGGGTGTAAAAGCATCGCAAGATACTCGTGTCCGGTTTCTCCGTGGAGATCGTATTTCCCTCCGGATATCGGATCCTCCACCTGATCCGTCAGCGCCGCACCGGCCTCAGACACGTGGTCGGTTCGGTCTGCACCCTCCCGGCCGATCCCGGAGGGTCTGGCGCCGCGTCCTGTTACCGCCGGGTCGGGACGCCACAGCAGGAAAGGTCAGCACGGGCCGGTGACCTATCCCGTCTCGGATATAGTCACGTTGGCTCTGAGTCAGATGACCGGACGGAAGTCGTGTTGCTGGTGGGTGACTCGGTTATGCTAAAAGAAAGATTAAACTGTGGCTAGAATATCTGTGAAGTTTGTGGTTCTGCAGATCTTGATCCACTCAGTCAATAATAGACTCACTGCGGGATAGTGCGGGACTCGGCCCCGGTCTCCGGTGAGCGACAGACTCACTGCGGGATAGTGCGGGACTCGGCCCCGGTCTCCGGTGAGCGACAGACTCGCTGCGGGATAGTGGGGGACTCGGCCCCGGTCTCCGGTGAGTGGCAGACTCAGTGTGGGATAGTGCGGGACTCGGGCCCGGTCTCCGGTGAGCGACAGACTCACTGCGGGACTCGGCCCCGGTCTCCGGTGAGTGGCAGACTCAGTGCAGGATGTCCGGCGGCCCGCCGCGAAGATAACATTGTCGCACCGCAGCCGTGCATTGTCACGTCACCGGTGCAAACCCTCGTGTAGGAGCAGCACTGATAGCAACTGGAACTGCACAGCGCTGTGTTCACTTAATCTCCGTGCATAATCACGCATGTTTTTGCTGCAGCTATTAATTCCTACGCAATTGGTTGGTTGCGGGGAGACCCTCCGGCATACCGAGCGCTGGCCTTGAGTTTCCGTGGCGGCGTTGGCGTCATGAATATCGCGTTTGCCATTCTGCGGCTGGCGGAGGTTTCCGGCACCGGGAGGAAATTGGCCGGGCTATCGGCTCGGCGGCGATAGCTGAGATCAGCGCCGACTGGAGGGGAGGCGGGGCGGCCCGTTACCCACCGGCGCGGGCCCCAACTCCGTGCCGCAGAGCTGTTTGGTGGTCTGAGTTTTACCGGGATCCGCTACTGCCTTTGTGGGCCGGCGTTTTAGAGTGCCAACTACGCAGTAACGGCGCTGTGACCCGCATTTTGCGGTGGCCGAGTGTGCGGGTCTTTTCTACCTTTGTGGCTCCGCACGGCCATTCAACCCGAGCGAGTGCTTCAAAGTGGTTATTACCCAGGAACGTAAAGTGTACTCAATTAGGCGTTATGGTGCACAAAGTAAGATTTTTCAAGCTTACGGTAGGTCTTGCAGGCTTTTGATAGGTTGGCAGCCTTGAGCATCTGGACGCCGGATGACTTTATATTTGTTGTTTCCCGTGTTTTGAATCCAGCACTGCATCATTATCTTGTCAGTATCTTGCATCATTAGTACGTATCTTAAATATCGGGGATGTGCCCAGTTCCGTCTGAAGCCACCGTTCCTCCCTGCTCACTCTCGCGCTCCGTTGACGGACCGAAGTCGGGTTGTCGCTGAGGCTGCTCGCTGTCTGAGACTCGGGCGTGCTCGGCCCCGTACACCCCGGCGCGGCCGCCAGGGTCGGAGGGGCTCCCAGCACGGCTGCCATTGGCTCGATGGTGCTCATTGAACGTCGACCAGGCAAAACGGCGCCCGGTGCCAAACGCCACAGAGAGACGGCGCGGCGCGGCACGGGCAGCTGAGGTACTACCATGGTAACTGAGGTAGTCAACAGTATCGGCTGTCGTGCTCCCACGGTACCAAAATGTAGCGAGTACTGCGGTACTCACTATTTACTGAGGTATTGCGGTGCTCCTAAAGTAATGAGACAGACGGAGTACTTCGGTACTGTCTTGATATGGTACCGCGGTGACGAACCGGTTACGCGCTGCAGTACTGACATAGTGTTTCGGCGGCTAGGACACTGCAGATACCATGCTGATATGTCACTGAACTGGGCCCTTTAGTCGTCCTGCTCTGGCTTCCTGGCTGCGGAGTCGCTGGGCTGTTTGTCTTTGATGGTCGAGCGCTGGGAGCGAAAGAATGGATCGCCGTCTGTTTCGTAGTTGTAGGTTTGTTGACGGGTGTGATCTGGTAATGGTGGGCTACCTCCGCCCGAATTGGGTGGTTCCCCACCAGCCAGCTGACACGTTGTATACCGACACCCGATGAACGATTACTCAGAGCCAGGTCTTGTCGCAGTGGTGGTCACGGTAAAATGCCGAGCGCCATATTGTTGGCTTTGGTCGATAGATCGTGCGCGGCCCGTGGATGATCGGTGTTTTTTATGTGGTTTACCCATGGTGGGGGACCTCACCACTTTAAATGATAATGAGATGGTCTACGTTTCCAAGGCCATGTGTATTGGAAGCCGGGGAGGTGGGAGTCACTGTCCGTAGCAAACGAGCAACCTTATTACTGTGTAAAGCCTATACAAGGATCTATGAAACAGTCCTCAACTTCCAAAAGCAGGCTCTGTTCAAAACCCGTCTCCGTATGTGTAATGTGATCTCAGCCTCAGTTGTAGGTACGGTACAGACCGTCGCCCTCTGGACCCTCGGACTACATCTGATCTCACGTGCTCTAGTGGTCTCTGGACCTCCGTCGAGCCCACCTCTGGCCTCATTGTGCTCTCAATGTGCCGTGAAGTGACTGTGTGTGTACACTTAAGTGAGTCAGGTCGTCTTTAGCTGAAAACTGCTGAATTCTGAGTACTTGTGACTTGTGAGTCATTTCCGTGTGTGCGTTAGAGCGTTATGAGCCTGATATGGGCCCTGGTGACTGTTCTATTTGCGCCGGCCCCTCCGGCTGGGATCAGCTGGTTGCCTTAGCAACAGGTGCATGCCCCGACCCGTCTCCCGTCTGTGTATTTTGGCGCTCCGTGGGTTCATGTCTTGCAAGCATGAATGATCTGCCGGTGTCCTTTCCTCATTTACCAACATCAGTGTTTCGCTAGCAGCATCACTCTGCATCAGTGTAACTGACGTGAGTACGTGCGCAGTGATCAGGTCTTTGACGCGGGTATTTACGTCAGTAGATGTGTATCGGCGGGTGACGGAGCCGCGGCACCCGGTCGGCGGTGTGTGTGTTTCCTCCCCCCAGTCCTTGGTATGTTTATGTGTACCGTGTACGTGACCGACGGGCGGGCGGCCTCTTATTCCACAG